ATTACTATTAGTATGGTGACTTACAACTTTCTTTCCGTTGTTGATATTGCTGTTAGATTTGTTGAAAACTGTGATTAACTATTACCAATTTGTTGAAAACTATGATGGTTTGTATTAGATGCATGGGTATCGATTATCAACAAACTGACGCGATTGATTTAGAATTGTCTGAATTATTGACGATTTATTTCGGAAATTAGCTTGTCTGAATTGTTGACTATTCCTATCTCTGTTATAATTTTGTGAATTTTCATCTTTAAATTCATGAATTTGTCGAAGTTTGTGGGCTTGTTCTAGCCAAGTTATCGGATCAGCGGGACTTTGAACAATCATCAAAGACTTTAAGTTCGTTGGCAAACCATCTGTCAAACCTTCTAAAATAATTGATTTATCCAAATTAAGCCGCTTACCCACTTCAATTTTCTTTCGAAAGTAATTTGTGATGTCTTCTCTGGCGTTATATTTTAAATTAGCGAAGTCGCCGAAAGTAGTTAAGGTGGGATCGATAAAGTTTTCTTTTAATATTTGTTCAAATTCTGAGTAAGTTTTTAGCTCATGGCAATTTTTAATATAGAGCCAGAGGGCTTTTCCCTTAATGTAACGAGAAATATTTTGAAGTTTCCAATTTTCGTCCTTATTTTGGCAGACTTTGTTAAAATAACCTAACCAAGAAATTATGTCACTGTCCTTAGAATCTTCAAATGGAATAATTTATTAAATCTATTGTATCTTGATTCACGTTCAGTGAATCGTCAAGATTAACGGGTTCCTGATTTGTCGACATTGTAACTGAAACTTTAAAATTTTCTTGAGAACAAAAAAATGTGCACTTTTCTCAAAATATTTTTACAATAGTTAAAATATTTTTTTAAACCAAAAACTCTTCAGAGTATTATCAACACTTCATAGAATAATAGACTTAAATAAAAAATTTGTATTCTCAAATTTTATGATTATCACTACACATTTCAGGATAATATCAAATCTTACTTAGAATACTATTAATTAGAATAAGACTTGAAATTTAAATAAACTAGTAATTACTTAGTTCACACACTGAGAAAAAATAATTTCTTAAAATATGTTCTTACTTGGCTGTTGAGTACACTATTTAATCCTGCTCGTTTGTGTGCTGTTAAAAAAAACACAGCATAAATGATTGAAATTCTTCAGCTTCTTTCCAGCAGACGATATCCAAATCATGCGGTTCTAACTATGAGACGCGCTCAAAATGCGACAACAAAGCTGTATCACAATTCACAATTCTTCAATTGAAAAAAAAAAAAAAAAAAAAAAAAAAAAAGCATAAATGATTGAAATTCTTCAGCTTCTTTCCAGCAGACGATATCCAAATCATGCGGTTCTAACTATGAGACGCGCTCAAAATTCGAAGACAAAGCTGTATCACAATTCACAATTCTTCAGTTGTAAAAAACAGACACAACTTGCACTTAAAAAGTTCTTTCTCTTCCATTGGAATTATCTTTCCTTTTGGGTACACCCATCCTGCCGACTCCTTGTGTTGATCCAGCTTTTGTCCAGAATAAATAGATCGTTGAAGAAATCATGTAGTCGTAGCTTAAATTAATCAGACGATAAGTTTAAAAAACAGGATCCATTTATTATTATTCAGGAGAAATAGCAGTTACAAAATCAGATCCGGAGTAAATATAAAAAGAATTACTAATAACTTTTTGTATGAAGTTTACTGCATCGTGACATTAAAGAAAAAGCCCCCGATATTCTTTTGCGAGTCCTTTTATAGCCTCTGGAAAGGCGGAGCTTCCAAGAAATGACGTCAGCCTCGTCAGCCAATCCAGTTCGCTTTAAATATTTCCAGAACATTCTATAACTGTACGTGTAGAAGAGGCGGGAAAAACAACTTGACTACGGGGCTGTGTATTTAATTCCACGTACTTTCAAATAAGAGAACGTCGCCATTAAAATGAAAAGAACATACAGTTAGAATTTTAATTGTGTTCTTGACTTTGGAATTTTATTATTACAAATATATATATGTTTCGTCTCGTCCATTGCATTACAAATGCAAGAGGTGCGACTAGATGTTATAGCAGTCCCATGTACAAAATTTCAACGGTTTACGACTAATAATTTTTGAGTTATGCAAGATGCATAAATACATACATACATATATATACGTATGTACATGCGTACGTTCAGATCTTGCGAAAAAAATCCCTTTTAAATCCACTGTAAAAAATTTTACAGTTCGTTTAAAACAATCTTTTATTCTGTCCATACTTAGAGACGACATGCAAAAAAATCGTCGAAATGAGTTCGGGAAGGGTCAAAAGGGATATTTCTCTTGAAATATGATACTCGATATTTTTCGCGAATACAACATTTCGTTTACTTACAAGGAAGTAAAAATGTATTGCGGATTGCCTTTTAATTATAGCTTAGTCCAGTGTTATCGAAACACATAATTAGCCTTTAGATTAAGTTCTACCGAAACCGTTTTTCAATAAATCTTTGCTCATTTTTAATGATTATTAGATTGAAATTTTTTACTTTTATGAAAGATATTTGTATTAATCACAGTGTTGTAATTTTAAAATCTATTGTTTTTAAAAATTCCTATTATTTGAAAAATGTCCAAGTAAATACCAATTTCAATTGACGTTAAAATAATTAAAATTTTAAAACTATATAAGAAGTAATTTATAAAACTACAAATAAAGTTTGTTAAAATATAGTGTTTTCGCTTTCCAATAATCTTAAGTAAAATGCTAAAACTATTATGTTTTAGTTATTTTTCAATTGGTTAGCATAATTTTAATTACTTACAAATAAGTAATACTTATTTCTATTTGATAACTTAACTTTGATTTGGAAATACATACTTCACGCATTTTACAAGATAAAATTCTGAAAACGTTTGGTTTATGTAGATCTTTTTTTTTTTTTTTTTGCAATAATTAAAAATTTTTTATGTATTAGTTTTACAGCCAAGCCATATACCGATGATAAAGTTACTGTCATTTTATAAAAGTACATAGTTTTGAAGTGATAGCTGATCACATTACATAAAAATAGTTATAACCCATTTGTATGAGAGAGTGGCATACTGTGCAACTGCACCTCCAGAGTTGGCACAGTGTTAGAACACTGCTATAGGTGTACCATTATCAGCTTCAACCGTTCGCTGCGCTGTGGATTGTCTGCGTGCTTTTCTTCAAGCAGGATTTCTGTGATCCAAATCCATCGAAGTCTTTGGCTACAATGAGCTGACCAGCATAGCACTGGTCTACCAATTGGAAGCAGACAATGGATTTGCATGCATATGGGATACACTGATGGTTAAGCTCGCGTTATATCCTATAGAGATAAAACCCATTTACCGGAGTGCATTACCCAGGATTATACTGATAGACCCAAAACCGTGATGGTCTAAGGCACCATTGGATACGATGGGTAATCTTGTCTGCCTAAGAACTAAAGTACTCTCACCAACAGTCGCTACTGTGAACCTCGAAGTCGCACCCTTCATTCTACGAATTCCTGGAGAATAATTTCAAGAGACAATAACTGTTCACCAGTGCACCAGTGACGTAGCCAGAGATTTTTCTGCCCGAAACTGTCCCTAACTTTGTCCCTGAATTTACCGCCCCTCTTGAAATACAAACAAGGAACTAAAATGTGTCAAAATGGCATACAGGAAAATAAATTAAAATTTTATGTGCAATTTGAAAAAAAAAATAATAATAATAACATTTTAAAATTGTATTATTATTATTTGCAAAATCATCGACTGCTTCGTATTGGTCTATCTGATTGCTCAAGTTACTGTAATGTAGGAATATAAAACTCTGAAATACTTTCTCTTTAATGAAGAATTCTGCCTTATAAATGCCACTGTGATAATAATTTATCTAATATTCGTAATTTACATTTATACGTTTCGATGGAACAATAAAGATATAATAAGAGAATCTAGCTGTTGTAATCTCATGGTGATTTCTTTGAATACTTTATACAGAATAAAAACCACATTTTACCTCAATTTAATTCGATATGGCTATTCAAAATCTTATTCTTACTAACATGCCTCGACGATCCGAATAACTAACTCTACAGAATAATACTTCATGCCAAAAACGCCCCCCCAAATATGCTGCCCGGGGCGGACCGCCCCCTCTAGCTACGCCACGTCTGTCAGCAAGTTTAAGTCATTTTCTCAAATGTCAGATAACATACTCTGGTTTGCTCATTCAGCAGGTATGTTGCTTATTAAATATAAATTGTATTTAGTAGGCTAATGTCTCGTTCGCGACATTCGCCGCTCACCAAATGTGGGTTAGTTTTAGGTTCGGATAGCTGTAATATGGGAAGTGCACATTTGAAATCTTTTCGATTCAATGACCCGAGGAGTGAGACCTTCTTTTTCAATGACCTTCTTTCCAGTGGCTTCACGAAATACTGATTTTCGGCGTTTATTATTTTTATATTGTTCTGTTAATTTAATTACTTCTTTGTATTTCTACAGGCGGTATATGGAATAAATTTCATTTAGTTCTGGTGATACCTTCATGGTGTTGCAGTTTTCATAAATAGGGATGTGTTATTCATGTAAACGACCTAATGCCGAATCGATAAGTCTTTCATGAATTCCAGTCTTTCATGAATGTAAGTTTTACTCTAAACTGAATAAAATGGCTAAAAATATCCAAATATGATTCCCGTTACACAGTTTTCTTATTCAGCTACAAGTGTCAGTGCTTGGAATTAAAGTGTCAGTGCTTGGAAATTAAATCAGTGACTCATAGTTTACCTAGCACAGCCTTATTCCATGATCAGATAACATTATTTTTGAAAATACGAATGTATATTTTAATAATATGTGTATTATTTTCAAACAAATCTGATTTAAGTGAAAAAGCCCCTATGCCATAATGTATTTAATTTTCTAATTTGTTGTGATTTGTGAAGAATTTTCTGCAATTTTTAGTTTGGAAATTCAGTATCTGCGAATATTTTAGGTTATACTGGGACTTGTGTATGCTGTTCTTTCTGGTGGCGAACCTAATCGTCCTTCCCGTGGCCATCTCCTTCTTCAACGACGACTTGTCCACCCGGTGGATCGCCTTCAACTGCCTCTCGGATACCGTCTTCCTCTTGGACATCCTCGTCAACTTCAGAACGGGTGAGTCCTTGATGCACCCATCGATTTATTTCTCTAACCTACCCTGTCATGGTTACCTAAACAGCGCTTTCATTCTAGAGAGTTTTGTTATGCTCAAATATCGCTCTGGAGAAAAAATAATCATCAAGATTATGCGAATTAAATCTCTTTGGCCCGATGAAACCATGTCAATATAACGTCCGTTTCGAGGAAATTAGGAAGACTCAATTTTGTTGTATAAAAACATTCTAATGTTATGTAAAAAAAGGAGAAATTTGAAACCTATATTCAGCTTTCACATTTTTACGGTGAAAAAATAATTTTTCAAAAATTTATAAGATGTAAAAATACCTTTCAGAAATTTGTTTTGGCATACTCTAATTATCTTAGCTAAATGTCTAATTATGTTTCTTTATTTCGGATAATTTTGTTCATATAATAATGAACGTTTTCCTTTCAGTTCGGCTATGAGAAACAATGTTTTAATTTATGGATTAATACTCTGGTTTTACATTAGTTTGTTTCCGTATGCTCTATTTCTTCCCGTAATCCATCATCATAATGCAAATTATATTCAGTTTAAAAAGCTGACGAACTTACACTGACAAACCAAAACATTACAACCGCCCACTCATAATTAAATGAACTCGTGTGGATGACGTGGAGGGCACGTTATTAAGTGGGAATGGTATTTAACTGTTGCTGGAGAAGGTAAGGAATCATCTTTTTTGTAAGTGATAGGAAATGCTGCTGATCTATGTGAATTTGATTTGATTCAAATTATAATGGCACGATTGGTAGGTTGTTGAAAACATTGAATAATTTTATGAAAATTTTAATATACATTAATGAAATTACTAACTGTTAACGTTCTTAAATGACAGGGAAAAAAATCTGCTTACATCTTTCCTCACCTCTCCCGAAAAAATTAACGAAATCCCTAGGTTACTTTTTTATTACTTTTCACGTATGCCAACTGGATTAATAACGCTACAAAAAAGCTAGAATAGAAATTTTGTGATTTATTAAAAGAAAATTTCTTTCTTTAGCCTTCTTCTCTTCAAATCATTTTTCATTTTTAATGACAGAAAAAACTCTTTAAGCGCTAATTTAAATAAGCTTTCTTAGTTTGCCACCGATTTTTGCACATCTGTTTCCTGGCATGCGAATAATAAATGAAGGCGTTATCTTCGTTGTTGCGAAGCTTAATCTCTCTAGATTGGCAACAAATGTACTATTCCGCTGTTTCAAATGTAAACAAATATGTCCACCATGTTATTTAAAAATTAGGCTTAACTGCCCTTAAATAGCTTTTAAATTGTTGATAATTGTACAAATATTGCTTTCAGATTTACTAAAGGCATAAAAACCTTAACCGGAAGATAAGAACAACATAATTCAATCATTTTTAAAGCAAAAATTGCACAATTTACAAACATATAAGAGTAAAGAAACTGAGATCACTGAACGGAGTAACAGAGTGGATATTTATAAATATATTTATATACGTTTGATGCAGCCGATTGCAACCAAAATACGAGGTGCACATCTACATGTTATAGCGGTCCTATATACAAAATATCTTAGTATATTAGTCCTATATACAAAATAGTTCTTGAGGCTACTCGTTTTTGAGTTATGCGAAATACGTGCGTACGTACAGACGCCACGAAAAATTATCTTTAGAATTCATTTTAAAGAAGTTTTATAATTTTTTTGGAGAAAAAGAGTTTTTTATTTTGCTAAAAGATGTTTGCTAAACATTTTGTATCATAGAGGTTTCCTTAAATTCTTAATTAATTCAAAAACTTTAACTCTCTAGTACTTTATTTCGCTACCCCCTAACAAGCACGCTTTAATTTTGAAGTTTGAAAGTTTATTTTTTTATTTTTCTATTCTTTATCTTGATTTCTACTTTCCTTTTGTTTGTTTACTTTTTATTTTGATTAACTTCAGCATCTATTCAATTTAATTACTGTTTTAACTTACCTTTCTCCATTTCTTAGCATTCTACTTACCAGTCCTTTCGTTTACTGTAAAGGTGTTTTCTTTGCTTTGATACCGTTTCGGCAGTGTAATCTCTTACGAGCCCCCACCTTACAACTTTCACGAAATTCTTTTGCTATCAAGTAATACCCGCTTGTCTTCTCAAAATGAATAAATACTTTGTGTTTTATTTTCGTAACTTTTTATGCTAATTATGCATCCTGAAATTTAGGCGCAAAATGTCATACCATTCGATTACATCATAAAATGTTTAATATTTTATACTGAACGTATAGGGCATGTATTCGGGTGCTTTTGTACACAGAAAACTCGATGGATGTCAGGAAAGCCGGTATTAGATCCTATCTGACACGAAATAGCAGTTTTGAAGATGGCAGATGATGGCCATGCAAGGGTTAAACTGAAGGTGATACCTGTAACATTTTAAGGAAACGTAGAATTTGGTGGCCTATCAAAGACGTTTTTGTGTACAAGATCGGCTTTTTCAAGCAGGTCATTCACAAATGATATCAGCTGTTTGAAGACCCTGGTCCTGGCTTAGTGAAGAATAGGTGGCGCCCATCATATGCTCGTACAATTTGAAACTATCACTAGGTCTCCTTTCATACACTCAGTGATTCATGCAAGAAGGAGCCTTGTCCCACCCTTCAAATGCTATTCTTGATTTCCTGTACGAGATGTTTAATCTGATTGTAATGTCACATTGGTCTTATGAATATTACGAAAGAGGCTTTCGTATAGCCTACAGATTAATGCGTCGAATTCCCTTTTATGGGATTTTTTGAAAGAAGCTTGCAAACGTATTGCAACTTAAGTCTCTTATCATGCAGCTTGACAAAATGTGTGCCAAACGGTTAACAAATGCAAAGGCTCGATTGCAGGAGATTATGAAAAAAAATGGAGAGCATATTGAACACGTTCTGCACTCAGATCACGTTCCATACTCACAGAGTTAATTATGCATCTATTTTGTAATATATCGATGATAAATAAATGCATAAATAAATAACGCTATGTATAAAAATAAATGCATAAAGCAAATAATGGGTAGGACATTCTGTGATGCATTCTGTATTGTACATTCTTCAAGGAAAGGAAAACAAAAAAAATAAAATCGAAATCGAGTCAATGGCTAGGCGGCAATTAGTAGCCAACCGCTACTTTAACCGTCTCTTTGGTAATGCCCCTAAGGCGTGGTACTTAAGTTTTAATTAAGGCGATTTACGCCGCGCAAACTAGGCGAAACTTGTCAATTTGTGAAATGTAGTGGAGTAAGGGAGATGATTGGCAGGACCTGTCACGTGGGTGGTCACCAGCTTACGCGTACAATGAGAAATATTGGAATATTAATAATTATCAAGTTTTGAAACAGGTTATCTAGATTGGAATAATTAAATAATATCGCGATCTAATGAAGACAAAATGGCACAACTAAGTGCAACAGATTAGGTAAACAAAATATTCAAATTCTCTTCGTAAAACACAGATTGGACAGTGGTAGTCACGTGGAGTCCCTCCCGTGAACTGTCCACAGCCAATGCATCTTGAAATAGTAGAATCACTATTCAGTGAAGTCTTGTCGAGAATTAAACACTAAAGTTCTTGACAACACTGAGACACATGAGTTACTGTAATATACACTATTAAATATAGGACGGGGTATTTGAGCGAAGTGGCAAATGGTGAAAACATTTCACTAACAATAAATAATCAGAGCTTTGAATCAGGTACACGATCATTCCATAAGTCCACAATATTACAAATCTCGAATACATAAAAGATACGAAATGACAAATATAAGATCAGTGCTTTGAAGATCCAGGTACACGGAGGAAAGGAAAACACTGTCGCAAATTTTATATATACATATAATTGGGATTACGTCTTAGTAACATTTTCCTAATTAGTGAATTGTAATTTCCCATATTCTCCTTTCTCCACGCGTGAGTTATTTTGTAACAATAATAGCCCATGCATGTAGATGATATACGAAATTAAGAAAAACTGCATGGTATTTGCGCATATCAGTGACGTCACGGATCAAATAAATGCCAAGCAAATGCTCAGTATTCCTTTTGTCTAATGTTTGAGTATTTGCTTTCATGTTTTAAATTAAACCCCCTTCCAAATATTTATTATTTAAAACAATATTTTAGAAAACAATCATTTTAAAAAATTAATTTACAAAAATTTAAGATTTTAAATAACAGATTTTTGTCGATTTATGAAAATAGAGGGCATCTTAACAAGCTGAAATGGAATAAAGCGAGGAAGCAATTACTACTAATTTATGTGGTAAACGGCTTTAAACGCAATCAAAACTTCAGAACAATTCTGTAAAATCATACCAACCATGTGTTAAAAATTATAATGACAAAATAAAGTATTATGTGTATGATATAGTTTCAACTTCGAAAACTAAAAAGCAATTGAAGATCCTACAAGTCGTAAATGCGGTGGTAATGATAATAATACATTAAGCATTCGAAAATTCGGTGATGGAAGACACAGAGCTTATAGAATAACATCTATACTCATTTGTTATCGTCACTCATCAATCAATGTGTCAACAGTTTCTACCCCGCCTGGTCCAATATCAAAAGTCGAAAATTTTGTAGTCTGATTAATGAAGAAAGATAAGATTTAAAGTAAGATAGAATGTCTGCCTTTTCAGATTAATACATTTTCCGTAATGTTAAATTCTTCGTATACGATCAAAACATTCCTTCAAATCAGTATATCAGAATTTGTAAGGCAGTAATTTTATTGCGGGAATAAACGATGAAATTCGCAAGTAGGTAGTCGGGTTAAATAACGAAAATTTGCAAAGCTCCCGCTGCCGCGAATTTCCGTTAACAATTTCGCAGTCACTTATCTGCATTAGCAATTCGAGAAGGATGTGTACCAAAATGAAGCAAAAATGCAAATAACTGGTATGAAAACAAATAAAAATTATACATACTTTTCCAAATTTTGCAATTATAAAACAAGCAAATTCCTGAAAAGTATTCGAC